GAGGTCCTTCCCTATTCTGACGGAGCTGGTGGTATTGCTCAACGTAATTTTACACAGCCGTTCTAGTTTTGCGGGGATGCCAATACTCAGAGCTAACATTGTGATTTTTTAATTTTTTTTTTTGAGATGGCATATTTTCAAAAACTATTTTTTTTTGTAAAGAAAAAAAATGTTAAAATATTTCTTTTCATAGAGAATTTTGATGTGTGTAAGTGTGATATTTTTCAAATTTTTTTTGCTCGCCCCGTTCTCGAAAAATTTATTTGGAAAACTATTAAATCGATTTGTTCTTGTTTTTGTGCTGTAACGTTTTTAAAAATGTATTAATCAAGCTAACNATTTTTTTTTTGAGATGGCATATTTTCAAAAACTATTTTTTTTGTAAAGAAAAAAATGTTAAAATATTTCTTTTCATAGAGAATTTTGATGTGTGTAAGTGTGATATTTTTCAAATTTTTTCCTCGCCCCGTTCTCGAAAAATTTATTTGGAAAACTATTAAATCGATTTGTTCTTGCTTTTGTGCTGTAACGTTTTTAAAAATGTATTAATCAAGCTAAAATTTCATATTTATTTATTATTTACATATGTTTATGCATCAACCCTAAAAATTTTAAACAAATCAAACACATGAAGTGTGAACCCCGTCAATTTGTACCAAAACACCCATATACACCTTTTGAACAGAGCCAACATTAAGTTGATTATTGGCCAGCAATTTGGTCAATTACCGCGCCTATCTCCCATAGTTAAAACGGGGTGTTTGAAAAATGCAAGAATTTAGTTCCGAAAAAGCCTTACAACTCCAGAACATAAACATAGAGATTGGATTTGCAAACTTACTTTAGTGCTTTCGGCTCGAATTTCGACAGGGATGAAACGCGTATGCCCGAGTAAAAGTTCGATGGATCCGTTTGTGTAGTGTTAATTAAATAGTAAGAGATGAATGGGAAGTCCGCTGTGGAGAAAATATATATATATAATTAAACATTTACTGCTTAATAACTAAATTACCTTCAAGTCCTTACTTACCGCNAGTGTTAATTAAATAGTAAGAGATGAATGGGAAGTCCGCTGTGGAGAAAACCAAATATAATTAAACATTTACTGCTTAATAACTAAATTACCTTCAAGTCCTTACTTACCGTTTTTCTCCATATTGGCCAAGAGCATGCCACCCACCGCCGTATTCGCCTGCTGCACCTCCGATACGAGTTCCGCTGCAACGGCGCGTTGCTTCAGCAATGGATGTGCTAATGGTGACTCCAGCATTGGATCGATGGGTTCCAATGGGCTCATCAAATGTACGAGTATACATAGCTTCGGATCGGAAACCTCGAGTATACTGAGTGGACTATTGGTTTTACCATCGGCCGATGGTGCGGGTAACTAAATAGCACGAAAGAGTTTGAATTGAGTACTGAAAACTGAGTTACGCTACATCCATCATGCTAATTGACTCACGGGTATACCCGCTGGCAGAAAGCGACTGACACTATGTACCGGTATAATAAAGCAGTCACGATCCAGCGCTGACAACGAAATCGGTTCGGAGCGCACAGCACCCGATGTGCCAGCCGTATTGTCGGCACCAAAATTCGCTGGAAAAATTTAATTGAAAAAGTAAGGGTGATTAATTATTGCAGAGAAAATTTTTTCATTTCATTAGTATAACAGTTAGACAACTTTTTTAGAAACATAGTTAGCCCAAAGCTTTATAAAGCTTATTGTTAGAAGATTTACAAAGCTTTGGCGAGCTTTTAGAACTATTTCATTATTAAGAGTTATGCGCACGTAAGGCTCCTGTTAAAAGAATTTCACAAATGAGATATAAGCAATAAGCTTTGAAAGCTTTCGCTGGTGCTTTCACAGTTTTATAAAATATTAAATATAAGTACTAAATATATCATATGTGTCATTTTAGAATTAGTTAGACTTTAAATTGACTTTTTAAATGCACAGCGTTTGGTTGAAGTGGAAATTTTACAATTTCCGCGAATAATTCAGCCTTCGTAGATCTTCATCTTGTTCGAAAAATTTACAAAGCGATGGCTCGGTCTCATAGAAAATGCTTTGGAACTACAACAATTACAAGTGGGCCAATTCCAGCTATTTCATATCAAAACATGACTTAAAGCTTGGGAAATGCCAACTCGCTTCTGAGAGCTTTTAGTCAGTCAGAGCCCATATATTGACGCCTCCAAACCATATCATGCTGAGTCAACTTAGACTTAGTCAGACTTAGTATAATATGGTCGAGGCGTCGATATAATCTATAGATTACTTTATGAGCATTCTTTGCGGGATATATGCTGGTTGTCTATGCTTTAAATCGTGTTAGCCACAGAGAGATTTTATTTTTTTGACAGCCGTAACTAAATGATACATAAAACTTTGTAAAGTTTTGTACGTGTGAAGTAGCCAACTGTGACTTACACCGACTGCTTATATAAATAACGATAGCATGGAGCTTTTAGAGCTAAGTGCGCTTTTCCTGCGAGATCTGTTTGGTCATCACTGGCTCAGAGATAGAGCTTTTAGAGCTAAAAAGCTTCTCCCGTGGGATATATTTTGGTCATCACTGGGCTACATAAAATATATAAAAAGCTGAAAAAGGCTTAGCACGCGCACGAATAAAGCAGGGAAGACCAGTGAAAGCTATTTTTCTGAGGAGCGCTTTTAAAAGTTTTGGCACGCGTGCTTATTAAATTACCAACACTGCAATAAAGTGAACCACTCTGGTTGAGATGCATAACATCGTATGCTCATTTTCACTAAATGTTGACAGGAGTTGAAAGCCCTGTTGACCCTGCTAGTACAATTGCCAGACAATTTCAGATATCAGAAAAGTCGCACAAATGTCTGAATAAAAAGTTGACTATTTAGACAATTCGTACAGGTTTCGTACAGATTTTTGGGCGAAGTGTCTGAAGAAGTATATTTATTTCCTTGCCGACATGTGTGATCGAATTATGTCCAATTTCGGACAGACACGTTTAATTATTATTTCCCATGATTTTTTGGTCAGACATCTGTTAGATATCCGCCAGAATCGTCGGTAATTAAGTCAGAATTTCCCACGATGTATCTGTTAGACTTCCTGTTAACCTCTCTACGAGCTTCTCTGACCGATATCGGCCAGAAATCATAAAGATGTTCAGGCTTTTCTGCCGACGATTCTCGTAGACTGGGCTTCGCTAATATATTTGTCGTTCTCTGGAGGCCATAAACGTCCGAAGTGTGTTTTTCTACTCTGCAGCCAGACGATATTCTTCACTATAGTTGCACATACTTTAACTGCAAGATGGCGAAGCACTCGTGGTAGCAAAAAATTCAATTATTTGGCGAAACTGGCAGATGAACTGATTTTCTCACTTTACTTTTTCTGTCCCAGATAAAATCAATACCGCATTTCAGTCGGATCCAGGCGAGATAATGACTCCCTTGTCTGCTAGTGGTGAGCAAAGAGAGAGTATTCTTACAATAATAAAAATACATAGATCCAGTTCTCCGAATTTTACAGCATACGAAGCGTAAGTTCTCACTATTACCACCGCTTTAACGCACGGTGCTTTCTGTACGTTAGGATACTTAGGTTGAACGGCTATCCCCTGGGGGTTTCACTTGGACTCACGGCCCGTTGTTATAAAGTTTAGTAGCATGTTGAGCACTTCAATGCTCCAATAGGAAAAAATTTGTCTTACCACCGCAATGTATTTATATCCACGCTAAAATGTTGGGCACCAGACGTCCATTTTTTAGAATAGACCTGGGGGATACTCTGTTTTGCGATTGATACTCAATTCGATTCGAAGGACGACACGGACTAATACAAATATATAGTGCCAAATATTCGAATCCAAATGATTTGCTCTTCTAATCGCAATACAGAACAGGCCCCCTGCTGCATAAATATAAGGCCGTAGCGGCTTTGCGGTACAGATATATAATACATATTACTTGTGAAGCCATGTTTTTCGATGTCAAAGATAAGGCTGTACAAGGCCGTATCCACACCGTTTCCCTTGTTGCATGCGCGTTGGGCAACCGAAAGGTTCGGGCCCGCTATTGCACTGATATGATTGTTCTTTATGTGCTACAGTGACTTCACTAAAAAAGACGAGAGGCTTATCGGCCTGAAATCCTGTGTTTTGGGGTTCGAAGATTTACTTCTCCTACCTGCGCCCTTTACTACGGCATATACATAGGCGAGCCTGCTCTTTTAATCTTGGAATAATTNAATATAAGGCCGTAGCGGCTTTGCGGTACAGATATATAATACATATTACTTGTGAAGCCATGTTTTTCGATGTCAAAGATAAGGCTGTACAAGGCCGTATCCACACCGTTTCCCTTGTTGCATGCGCGTTGGCCAACCGAAAGGTTCGGGCCCGCTATTGCACTGATATGATTGTTCTTTATGTGCTACAGTGACTTCACTAAAAAAGACGAGAGGCTTATCGGCCTGAAATCCTGTGGTTTGGGGTTCGAAGATTTACTTCTCCTACCTGCGCCCTTTACTATGGCATATACATAGGCGAGCCTGCTCTTTTAATCTTGGAATAATTAGGCCCAATGTTTTCTGAAAGGTAGGACGCTATCNTTTTGCGATTGATACTCAATTCGATTCGAAGGACGACACGGACTAATACAAATATATAGTGCCAAATATTCGAATCCAAATGATTTGCTCTTCTAATCGCAATACAGAACAGGCCCCCTGCTGCATAAATATAAGGCCGTAGCGGCTTTGCGGTACAGATATATAATACATATTACTTGTGAAGCCATGTTTTTCGATGTCAAAGATAAGGCTGTACAAGGCCGTATCCACACCGTTTCCCTTGTTGCATGCGCGTTGGCCAACCGAAAGGTTCGGGCCCGCTATTGCACTGATATGATTGTTCTTTATGTGCTACAGTGACTTCACTAAAAAAGACGAGAGGCTTATCGGCCTGAAATCCTGTGTTTTGGGGTTCGAAGATTTACTTCTCCTACCTGCGCCCTTTACTACGGCATATACATAGGCGAGCCTGCTCTTTTAATCTTGGAATAATTGAGCCCAGGTGATTTATAGGACGCGAAGTTGCAAAAAGCTTTCTCAATTGTTCCTTTCCTTCAGTTTTTCGCGTGATGGAACCCCCGTATTACCTTAAAATCGCGAAGTTGAGATCCGTTTAACACTGAAAGTGATATTTATTAAAGATTATAGATCGTAACCCTGCCAGAATGAGGCAATGGAAAAGATAGTGCTCTGAACTCTCCAGCTCGTTTTTAATCCATTCGCTTACGATGCAGTGCCCTTTAATGATACCGACTACTGCGCTAATAATAAGGCGATCAATTCGTATGAGAGTTTTAGATCTTTTATCGTTGATACTTGACTAGATTTGCTTAGTAACGAAGTAGGTTCGTTCCTTCGCCCATCGTTTGAAGGTAAATTCAATGAAAATAAAGNGACTAGATTTGCTTAGTAACGAAGTAGGTTCGTTCCTTCGCCCATCGTTTTTTTAGGTAAATTCAATGAAAATAAATTTGAGTTGGTTTTTACACGAGTACAGGGGAAGCCTGCAACATGCGCAGACTCAACTGAGCACAGTTCAGTAACCACCTTGCAAGCTCGTCTCACGCGCAAGTATTCACTACGCCTGGTTATCTATACCACGTTAATGGTCTGTACACTACCAACATAGATACAAAAAAAATTCCAATTTGATTGAAAAATCAAACTTTCTCTTTTAAAAAAGACTGTAGTATTGATACTATTGTGCTCTTACTCCTTTAGCGTTGCTGGTTTCGGAAAACCATTTGAATTTTTTTTAATACTACTGCAGTATTGAATTAATAATAATATTAAGCAGTTAAATATTATGCCATTTTATAAAGTTAGTTTGATTAAACAGCACAGGGGAAAAATTAATTAATGCTCATTNTTGAGTTGGTTTTTACACGAGTACAGGGGAAGCCTGCAACATGCGCAGACTCAACTGAGCACAGTTCAGTAACCACCTTGCAAGCTCGTCTCACGCGCAAGTATTCACTACGCCTGGTTATCCAACATAGATACAAAAAAAATTCCAATTTGATTGAAAAATCAAACTTTCTCTTTTAAAATAGACTGTAGTATTGATACTCTTGTGTTCTTACTCCTTTAGCGTTGCTGGTTTCGGAAAACCATTTGCATTTTTTTTAATACTACTGCAGTATTGAATTAATAATAATATTAAGCAGTTAAATATTATGCCATTTTATAAAGTTAGTTTGATTAAACAGCACAGGGGAAAAATTAATTAATGCTTATTTTTCGAAAGCATAAAATGTGATTCCAAAAATTTATACTTTAAAAGCAGTAAATCGACAAAGCAACACATCGCAGAGTTATAGACCGTAAACCACATTATCAAGAAACGTAAGTATGTACTTCGTAGTTTCGACATAGAAAAAATATATTCCTTCATTTGCATAATTCGATGTCAAACTTTCACCATAAAAACTCTCAATTTATTTTTCAAGGTCATTCAGTGAAAAAGCATTAAGNAACCACATTATCAAGAAACGTAAGTATGTACTTCGTAGTTTCGACATAGAGAAAATATATTCCTTCATTTGCATAATTCGATGTCAAACTTTCACCATAAAAACTCTCAATTTATTTTTCAAGCTCATTCAGTGAAAAAGCATTAAAGCCAAGGCCATTTTACACATTCTTCAGAATTAATCAGTAATAACGAAAGAAACCACTTTACTTCGCAAGAATATAAAGTTTCTCTCCATCGTCCTTTTGACGGCCATTGTTCCCCTGTGTGAAATAATCTTCGCTATTTTACTTTCTTACTTTCGCTACAGTGTTAGGCATGGGAAAAAGTGGGGAGGAAAATGAATGGGAAAGGAAGCTTGAGCGTTGGGAGATAGCATTGGTGGGAAGTAGGGAAAGTGTAGGCAAATTATTTTAGCGTAACGCAACACACACAAACGATTTTTAATATTTTTGATTTTGTAACAACTATGCTGTGGAATTAGTTTTGCAGCAATGGCTTTTGGTAATTAAGAAAAAGTGTACTTAAATTACTGCGATTTTAATTAATTAAAAAAAAAGAAAGTTTACTCATATTTAATAATGTTTAATTTAATATTTTTTTACTTTTTTTATTTTAGTCAGTCGTATTAAACGAAAATGGAAATGGAAACGGAAATTCAAACCTTGCCTGGCAGCATGAAAGCGGGCCGTCGTTGTTGCAGCTGCATTCGATAGCACCGTGGCAACCTGTTCATTCCGTACTCTAACACTACTGTTCCATCTTAATAGAGATATGGATGGCTTGCGATCGACAAGCGGCTGCGGTGCGTCCACTTCATAGGACTGAGGTGGAAGTGAAAATGATGTTGTGGTGGTCGATAACTGTGTGCACGCACCCGATAAGGCAGTGCACCTTTCTGCAATGAGTTCTGTTGATTTAGAGAATGTTTTTGTTTTTGCTCACTAAATTTCGTGTTTTCGTGTATGTATGCGCTGTTTGTTGTTTTTATTTGTTAATATTTTTTTATTTTTTTGTTTTAGTAGGGACAAGTTTGTATAGGTGTGTGTGTGTGTGTAAGTGATGTTTAGTTGTATGCTTAATTTAAATGTGTTCGCAATTGTGTATTTTTCGTTAATATTGGTCCCTAATTTAAATGATTAAATAATAAAAAAAAAAACAGAAAGTACATTACAAAAAAAATAATAATAATGAACCTTCCAAATGTGAACAGCGAACAGAAAGGTTCAAACTAAATATTAACTCAGTACTTGTAGCCATGTGCAATTTTCTCGTAAGTCTTCGCGACCAGCTATTGTACTATGGTCTAAATGCTTGTTTTCCTGGTCAAAACTGTGTTAACATCACTTTTTATTTTTGCTGTAGTTTAAAAAATACAGTAAAATAAAGGAAAGGTAAGTTATAATGCAGTAAACTATCAGTGGTCAAAGTCTACTTATTTTTGTACAATTGAAAAATCGATTGAGTTTGAGACATAAAGGGTTAAGCGATTAGATATTAAAGATGTGTGATAACTAGATTGCGGATTTTTATGCAGAAAATGAAGCCTAAAAATATGTACCAGATAATTCTAAAAAAATGTATACAATTTTATTTATTTTTCTTTGTTAAGTGGTTCATATTTTTAGGCTCCATTTTCTGCATAAACTTCCGCAGTCTAGTGATAACAAAATATTGCAAATTTTGTTTTGGTGATAAAATCTAATTTTTTTCTGACTAATACATTTTGTATTGGATATTTTGTTTACCTTAACTTTACATAAGGCTACAATTATTAAGGAATAAAAGTATTACATCTTGTGAGCTTGCGTTATCTTTCTTTGCGATTTCTGAGAAAACTTCTATTTTCGTAGGATTTTTCGATACTGTCAGTAGTGAACTGTTTGTCCTTTAGAGGGGGAACTCAATAAAAAGAGGAAACAAATGGCTGTTTACTGTTTTTTTTTGCTGCAAAGGTTGCTCCTTTTGGTTTTTCGGTGGAAAAATTTGAAATTCAGACTTTTCACAGTTTAAATACAAATTAGTATAATTTAGAAACAGTTTGCAAAAAATGCCACTGTATGAATGGGTTTTGTAACTAAGTGACATATTTTTTTCTTTCATACGAATATGAGAAAAAAACTGTACTGAAACGGAAAACTAAAAAAGTGCCACTTTTAGACACCTGGGTCGTCAAGGGTTAAACATTTCTTGTCTTAGAGAAATGTGGGAAATCATATACCTACCGATTCGTAACAAACTGAAGTTTTTTAATGATCTACATACTTATTTAGCCGTAATTAGTTTTGGACAGAAAACAGGATTTAGATTAGGGCATTGGTTTGAATTCCATACTAAATAGTACTTTAGAAAAGAAGCATCAATTAAATTTATTTTTTCCATTGAAAGTAGATATACATATGTGCATTATACAAAATGCACCTTTTAAAAGATGTTTGTGTATTCCAGTATTTATATTATTTGTGTTAGTTTCAGTCGGACAGGCATTGCATTAACCAATGTTTGTGCCTATTCTAAATGTGTTATCTGGTACTTCGTTGGCAGGGCAATGTTTAGTAGCATATCGCTCCACCAATCTTCTATTAGATTCTGATCTGGGCTTGACAAAGTGCATTGAAATGGTAGTATCAGTGTTACCAGCTATTTTTTGCTAGATTTAGCTATTGTTTTCGACACTTAGCTATGGAAATTAGCGTTTAGCTTTTAACTACATTCTTGATTTTTTTTTTAATCGTGTTAGCTATTTTTATAAAAAATTACCCAATTTTTTCAAAGAATTTTATCATTTTGAATTGATTCGCTATTCTTCATTATAAAAAATTGACAGTGTGACTGTGCTGTACGATTTATCAAATTGTACAAAAATTGGTTGTCTGGCATGCCTACACTGAGTAAAAAAGAAACCACATCCACTTTGTTTCAAGCTAATACTAGGTTTATACATAAGTAGTTTGTGCTCATTTTTGAGCTTCTGTAATTAGGAAAAGAGATTAGCCATACAAAATTCGTACCTCGTTAATGTGTAATTATAAAATAATCTCAGATTAAACCGATAACTTTCCGGTGTCCAACCTAGTTTTATGGATTATTTTTGTTAAGGAGAGGAGAAATGTTAAATGTAAAGTATACAAATATGGACGTCAGCAAGAAAAGACGTTTGAAATGGTATATTTAATAAAATATCAAGTTAAAATATATTTAAATTGCGTAATTTAGCAGAAAAGAGCGAAGAAACTTAACTTTTCCTTTAGTTGTTAGAATACCAATCACAACAAATTTGACGGCTAATAATTTGAGATTTATCTGTGTTGATTGAGTTTATATTCATATGTAAGCGTACTTTAAAACACATATGATTTTGCGCCAAGTGACCTTTTGTTTACTATAAACGTATGTGTTTATCCTTGGATTTTTTTTCTTTTGAAGGATTTCATTCTGCGCTTCACAGATGCTTTTTCATAATGAAGAAAAATGGAAAAATAATTTAAATTATATATTGGATTTGATCACATTCGAACTTGGACCCTCCTGAAAGCTGAAGTAGTAACGATTGGTACATTTGTACAGAATTCTCTAAATAAAAAATTCAAGAAAACACAATTCTGTGATCGGTCAAACAAACTTTTCACACCCCGGCCAGCAAAAAAATCCGAAAATTGTTCTGAAAAATAAAAAAAGTGGATAAAATGTGGAGTTTCGGATACTTTGACAATTCGTTTTCCCATTAAAGTGTGCAGTCTAATTTTTTTAACAAAGCTTTCCCATAAATATTGTAATACCTTCACTGATTCGTCGAAATGGAAAGATGATAAATTATTTTTTTTAATGAAAATAAACAAAGGATATCTTTATATTTTAGGAATTAAAGCTACGATAGCATCATTTTTGAAGACTGCAGCTATAACTTAAATAATATTTTCAAGACATAACTATAATTTGTGTGACTTTTAAATAAACGTGTATTTAACTACCTTTGAAGAAAAATAGTTTTAGCAAATTTTTGGCTATGGAAAAATTTTTGAGCTATTTTTAACACTGTTCGTCACGCAAAGTGGATAAGTAGACAGTGAGGCATTCTTGTGGTATTTGCGACTCGCGAACTTTAACATTTGTATTTTTGTTTTTAAACTCCGTCACGCAATAAACTTTTATGGGCATCCCTACTTTAAGAAAAACCACTGCAACCAAGTGACTGATGTCCAGAATTCTAACAATTCAACATCAACATTTTATTTATATATATTTTTGGAAATATTTTCAAATACCCGCTTTTTTTATGGAGAGTGATGCACGCTAATGTTAATGTACACATTTGCAATGCAGGTCGATATGCGACAGTGTAAATATTGGCGTTCACTTGATTTAATACAAATATATATGTATGTATTTTACTTCTAAAATGTACAACTTGATGGTGGTTAAATAAATTGTTTACAGGGATGTATGTACTATGTATGTATAAGTATATATGTATGTTTTAGTATGCAGATGTTCGGTTATGTTCGAGTTAGAAGTTGGCTGTGCAATGACTAGGAATGCTTGACATATATAGAGGGCGTAAGATAGAAAAAAAGAAAAATAAAATAATTAAAAAAATGCTTTGTAGCGACGCGCGAGCGAGCAAAAACATCTACAGGTGCTCCAGTGTGTGAGTTGAGTTAATTGTGCTATGTGTAGCGTTTTGTTTTGATCTAAAGGAAAATAAACTCGGTTCGTTTTATTATTAAGTTTTAGAAAATTTTGGAATTTTGGTTGTGTACGTTTCAGTATCTTATTTTTTTTTGTNAAAAGAAAAATAAAATAATTAAAAAAATGCTTTGTAGCGACGCGCGAGCGAGCAAAAACATCTACAGGTGCTCCAGTGTGTGAGTTGAGTTAATTGTGCTATGTGTAGCGTTTTGTTTTGATCTAAAGGAAAATAAACTCGGTTCGTTTTATTATTAAGTTTTAGAAAATTTTGGAATTTTGGTTGTGTACGTTTCAGTATCTTTTTTTTTTTTTTTGAAAGCGACTTATTGCAGAATGGTGCAGCAATCATCATTTTGTACGCCTACCTTCCCCCACATCCACGCCTGGGCGACTGGGTGCAAAAAATAAATGCGTCCGATAATGGATCTCCTCCTGTTGAGCGCCCATATCGCGTGATCGTTTCGTACGATTGGCCTTCGGTTGCAGCTTACTGCCGCCGCCACCAGACTTTCCACCTCCACCTTCGCGAAAATGCTTACGAAACATTAAATTCATTGTGAGTACCTTTTCTTACTACGATTTTTACGATGATATAGTATGTAGTTGTGTAGTATGTGTGCTTGTGGGTGTGGTGCCGCGTGGCGTAGCGTAGTGTGACGTTGCGTATGATTACTCAAAAGTCCGGATAGGATCTACCTATGTTANCGTGATCGTTTCGTACGATTGGCCTTCGGTTGCAGCTTACTGCCGCCGCCACCAGACTTTCCACCTCCACCTTCGCGAAAATGCTTACGAAACATTAAATTCATTGTGAGTACCTTTTCTTACTACGATTTTTACGATGATATAGTATGTAATTGTGTAGTATGTGTGCTTGTGAGTGTGGTGCCGCGTGGCGTAGCGTAGTGTGACGTTGCGTATGATTACTCAAAAGTCCGGATAGGATCTACCTATGTTGTCGGACGTTCCGTTGCAATGCTAGTTGAAGTGATGTAGTGTATGTTGATGTTGTTGTTTTTGTCTACTGAAGTTGCCGTTTATGGACAATTTTTCAGTGAGTTTTATAAGCACTGCTGCTGTGTCGTCTGTTTATGGTGGCGAGTAGAGAAGTTTTTAACTTAAAAAAAAAAAAATAAAAATAAAAATTAAGAAAAAATTATTGTTAAAATAAATTAAATCCATTCGTTAGTATGTATCCATATATATATACGTACATATATACGTGTTCGAAAATTTATAAAAGCATGGCAACCACCGGCGTTAAAATTGCCCAAATTATAGCATACAGTCGAAAATNGGTGGCGAGTAGAGAAGTTTTTAACTTAAAAAAAAAAAATAAAAATAAAAATTAAGAATAAATTATTGTTAAAATAAATTAAATCCATTCGTTAGTATGTATCCATATATATATACGTACATATATACGTGTTCGAAAATTTTTATAAGCATGGCAACCACCGGCGTTAAAATTGCCCGAATTATAGCATACAGTCGAAAACATCAAACTACCAAACAGCCAATTAAATTCCGCACAAATACGTTTCATTTTGAACAGTCACCAACATTCTCACAGAATGTTTGGGGGCATACAAAAATTGGCCACAGTGTGACGGTAAAAATTTACCAACTTTTCCATAGCTTGCCGGCAACCCAGAGAAAGGGAGGGCCGAGAGAAAAAGAGAGAAAGTGAAATAGTTGGAACTATATATTTGTTTTGTTTGATTTATGACGCTAAACTTTGCGTGCACACTTGGGAAAAATAAACAAAGAATAAAGCGCGCGCATTGATAGTGGTTTGATGGTTTGAGAGAGAACATAAAATTGCTAAAAAGCAAACAAAAAGGAACAAAATAATCAAAAGACCGGCGAGTGGCAAATAAACTGACACCGGTAATAAAGGAGGCCAGCGTACACTCATGCCCTCACTCAGCCACCCACACTCACTCACACACCCAAACGCAAATACTCAACACCTCACCCTTAGATTCATCATGCGCTCATTCATTTGTCTACCAGCTCATTGATGCTTACTAACATTCATACACCAGTATTGCCGCATAAAAATTCGAAGCCACTCCAACCGTTTTGAACAAAGAAAAATAACCATATTTTGAAATTCTACTTCAAGAAAGGCAAGTTTAAGGCGTCATAAACGGTGGCAAAACCAAGATTTACTATACGCCCAATTCTAAATCATTCCGGAAGCTTTCTCTCAGCAGGTTTAGATTCTTCCGAGATATTATATATCTTATTCAGGGCGCAGTTACCCATCGACGTAAAATCGAGGACCGTGTCAGCTGACACGACCTATATAATGGGATTTTCGTGTTAACGAAAGCTGACGTTGTCGTTGCTTCTCTCTCTCTATCTCGCTATCAACAGCAATTTTGTAAGTTGATACGGACGGCAAGTAGGGATGGTCGGCTCCGTCGATGGTAACTGGCGTTTGAAATCTTGTTTCATAGCTGTTTCGGTCTCTGTAGCTGGCGCTGAATTGACATAAGAAAAAGCCAATTGAAATCATTTGAATCTGTTTTCATCCTTGAAGTCAGCGAAGTTTTACGTAGAGAGGAATTATGATCTTGCCTTAAAAATACCACACGCTTTTTATCAATAAAAAATGTTTTAAATGTGCTCTTCATTTGAATACCACCCAATAATGATCCCAATAGTTCAATTGAACTTTTATATAAATACAAATGATTTGTTTAACAAGCTAAATCTTTTTTCATGCAAAATTTACACCTAAACATTTTTTTTTCTGTTACTTTTTTTCTTGTACATTCTTTTTGGAGAAAAAATACATATTTTTTATCC